TTTTCCCTGTCGCTGGATGTCTCTCTGTATGTGAATGTATGAATGCATATATATATATATATATATATATATATATATATATATTTATATATATATATATATATATATATGCTTATTTGAATATAGATGTGTATATATACATATAAATACATGCATCATACATACATATACACGCACAAGATATATACATATATATAGTCATATATATATACCTACGCACACACATATATGTGTGTATATACACACACACACACACACACACACGCACATACACACACACATACACACACATTATTTGTATAATAGTTTTACTATTATTGCCAGTAATGTTACCGTCTCTGCCATTGTTGCATATATATATATATATATATGTGTGTGTGTGTGTGTGTGTGTGTGTGTGTGTGTGTGTGTGTGTGTGTGTGGTGTGTGTGTGTGTGTGTTGTGTGTGTGTGTGTGTACACATATGTATATACAAATATAAATATATATATATATATATATATATATATATATATATATATATATATATATATATTGCGTGTGTGCATGTGTGTGTATGTATGTAAATATATATTATATATAAATATACATTCATGTATAAATATATATATATATATATATATATATATATATATATACGTATATATGTGTATATACAAACATACATACATACATAAATATATACGTATATATACACACACCCATATATAAGAATATGCATATATATATATATATATATATATATATATATATATGGATACACATAAATATATACATATATATACACACCCCCATATATAAGAATATGCATATATATATATATATATATATATATATATATATATGATATATATATTATACATATGTATACTACACACACACACACACACACACACACACACACACACACACATACACACACACATACATATATATATATATATATATATATATATATATATATATACACACACGTGTGTGCGTGTGTATGTATATACATATATATACATGTATATATATATATATATATATATATATATATATATATATATATATATATATGTATGTGCGTAAGCATGGATATGTATATATATGATCATATATATATATATATATATATATATATATATATATATATACATACTTTTATATATATATGCTTATGTATATAATATATATATACATGTGTATATATATGTATAGTTTTATATACAAATATAAATACACACATATGTATAAATACATACAGTGTGTGTGTAAAGACACATCTATAAATACATATATATACATGTACATGTATATATACATATAATATATATATATATACACATATATGTATGTATGTATATACATATACATGCTTATATATATATATATATATATATATATATATATATATATATATATACACACATATATGCTTATAAACATATATATGGTTATATCTCTATTCATCTATATATAAATAAATGCTTACACATATCTATATATCTATATATCTATATATATATATATATATATATATATATATATATATATATATATATATATAAATGTACATGTTAATATATAAACATATATAGATAAATATTTATACAAATGTATATGCTTTTATAAGTATTTATATACACATACGTATATATGCTTACATATATGTATATATATATATATACGATATATATATATATATATATATATATATATACATATATATGCTTATAGATGTATAATACATGCATATGCTTATACATACATATATAAGTTTAAATATATATATATAGATATATATATATACACATATATTTACATCTGTATAAATTCAGGGCATGAAAAAACATGGAATTGATGTTTGTTGCTACTATTTTTTCCAATTCCACTATATATTACATGTATTAACAAGCGTTTTTACCCCATAGTTTGGGCAATATTACCATAGCTGATACATGTGAACCAAACTTCATTCCCTCCTTCCCCCCCAAAAAAAATATATATATATATAGAGAGAGAGATAAATAAAATCAAATTGATAGTAAAAAAAAACGCATTCTATAAATGACAGAAATTTGAATAAAAAATAACCGGACCCTAACCTAGAATGAAAATGGCCGAACTATAGGTCAGCCAACAAATTATCAATTATTCCACAGTTTAGCCTTATCGTCATGCAAAAGGCAAACCATCACGTGAGGCTAAAGGAAGAAAGAGAGGGAGAGAAGGAGAAAGAGAAAGGGGAGCTAGACGGAGAATGAAAAATGCCCGAATGCACATCGGTCATTCGCGAAAAAAATGTTAGACCAAAAGCCGATTAAAGTCAATTTCCAAGAGGGGGGGAGGAGAGAAAATGCTTCGACTTGTGAGTAATATCTACCACCGAATCACGCGATATCAGATAATTGCTTAAAAAAATAATAAAACAGTATAATATAAAGAGAAACTGAGTAAGATAGAGAGAAAGAGAGACAGAGAGACAGACTGAGTCTGAGGCAGAGAGACACACAGAGACAAACAGAAACAGACAGATCACCATTAAGAAACAAATTAAAGCGAAGAGGGGAAAAATACATATTTACGATCCTCCAGCACCACGATCTTGAGAAAGCAAAAGTGGATAATTTTCCTCAGGACAGCAATGAAGGATATACCCCTGAAAGACAGACATTACGGAGAGTCCCCACGCATTACAGCCGAGTCTAATGGCGCATCAACCATAACCTTAAAGAGTCCACGGAGGCAAAGATTTTGTGCAGAAGCGTCTTCCCAAGAAACCGAGGAACAGAAGCGTAAGGATGAAGTAAATTCTGGAAAGTGTCCATTGGAAGGAGGAGAGACAATGGTGGCAGCGGTGCGGAATGGAAAATGGAGAAATGAATACAAAAAGAAAGAGAAAAAAAAAGATAGAATGATACAGACGCCTACAGGAAATGGACTGCCATATCAGAATTACAGATATAAATGATAACGACCATAAACATTACTCACTGGGTATTCCAACTCTGTTTCCTTTCTTGCATGCTTCCGTACTTAGACAAAGGAACAAAGCAACCTGCACTTGATTGCAATCATTTCCATCAAAATATCCAATAGTCCAACCGGAAATTATATAACCAATTAGTAGTAACAATGACATCGCAATTGCAACAAAGCAATCGTTATGACTCCTACCACATGACAGCGGAAACGGAGTGGCCGCCGTTTACGTACGCGGTCACAGTACGTCGTTCTTACTGTGGTCTAATTTTATATAAAGATTATAATAAACTAATTAGAAAAGCACACGAACACATATATCCATATAGAAGTATGTATATGTATAGATATGTATATATATTGTGTATCTATATGTATAAATTTAAGTATATAAGTTTATATGTATGTATATATGAATATGTGTGTGTGTGTGTGTGTGTGTGTGTGTATGTGTGTGTGTGTTAAATATGTTTATATGTATGTATGTATGTTATATATATATATATATATATATATATATATATATATATATACATATGCATATATGTTTACATACGTTTATATATGTGTATATATATATATGTTTACATATATGTTTATAAATATTCATATATATACATATAGATTTATATATATATATATATATATATATATATATATATATATATATATATATATATATTGATGTATATGTTTATATATATATATATATATATATATATATATATATATATATATATATTATATATATATATATATAAAGTATGTATGTGTGTTTGTGTCTGTATATGTGTGTGTGTGTGTGTGTGATAAGCAAGAAGAGGAGTGAGCTTCCCACGTAAAAATAATCGGAAAAAAAAACTAATTTAATGTAAGAATTTCATCACAATAACGGGAATCAATCGTCAATGCGATTCATTTCAACAGGACAACATATTTGCAAAATAAGCTTGGTGCAATATACAATAAATATCTTGTTACAAAAGAAATCGATGACAAATATGAAGTGACGTATTATATAATCAGTTGCATTAATTTGAATGTGAGCAGTAATAATTATAATAATAATAATAATATTAATAATGATAATGATAATAATAATAATAATAATGATACTGACGTTAATAATAATAATTATTATTATTATTATTATTATTATTATTATTATTATAATAATTATAACAATAATAATAGTAATGGTAATAATAATAATGAAACAACATATGTCAGAGGTAGCATTTTATCAGCATTAATGGAAATAGTAACAGTAATAAACAAAAAAATAACAATAATAAAGATTATAATAAAAACAATAAAAGGAGATAGCAATTATAATAACTACACTAACAGTAATGATAATGATGATGATAATGATGATGATAATAACAATGATAATAATAACAATGATAATAATAATAATAATATTAGTAGTAGTAGTAATGATAGTAATAATAATAACAATAACAATAATCACGGTAATAACAACTATTATATTAATAACAACAACAATAATAATTATAATAATAGTAATAATATAATGATACAGCAATAGTGATGATGCCGAAAACAAAAGCAATAATAACAACAGTAATAAATAACAATAACAATATCAATAACATAAACATTAACATAAAACATTAACCAGTAAGAATAAACTCACAACATATATAACATTAGTAACAACAGCAATAAATATGATAATGATAACATTAATTTTAATTTCATCATCAGAAACCACCTCCCTATGACACCCCCATGACAAGAAATATTACAAATAATAATGATAATGATAAGTGATAAACTATAATTAATAATAAGAGATTATAATGATGATAACATATATTTTAATTTCATCATCAGAAACCACCTCCCTATGACACCCCCATGACAAGAAATATTACTAATAATGATAATGATAATAGTGATAAGATATAATTAATAATAAAAGATGAAAAAAAAAAGTTTGGGTATGTCAATAGGCTAATACCGAAGCGTCAAACTACATAGTAATAATTTTTCCTTTTTTTTCTTAC